GTGTATTTAATCACATGTGATTAGAGTTATTAAAAAAAAACTATTGAATCAAGAACGTAATGATGAATATTGTCGATATAAATATATGTTATTATATACATATAATCACATGTAATTAATGTATTTAATCATATATGATTTATGTGGAAAGTATTTGTTTTCGTGAACTTTGTCTAACACCCCCACCACCAGCACATGTGATTATATGTATACATATGATTTATATGGATAAGATTGATTTTTGTCTAAATAAATTATACGTGATTAGATACCTATAATCATATATGATTAAATACACAAGAATAACAAAAATGTATTTTATCCACATAAATCACATGTGATTAGACATATATAATCACATGTGATTCTATGTTTTAATCATATATGATTTATGTAAAGAAAATGCGTTTTCGCGTTGTCGATTCATTAGTTGTTCTCTTATATCTAATCACGTGTGATTAGACATATATAATCACATGTGATTCTGTGTTTTAATCATATATGATTTATGTCACTACAAGAAAAATAGCCTTTAATGACGTGCAAACAATGACACTCGTTGATTCACGTTACGCATTTCTGAGTGTCCTTGAAAATAATGTTAGACTTCCAAAATTTGAAGGATAGTGGACACGCATTTTTGCGTGCCCTTAAATTAGTGTCTCAAGAAAAAAAATTAAAAACACGGAGGGCGCTTTATCTTAAACGTGCGTCTTCTGTAGGTGTCGCTTAATAATTTTAGTGAAACGCGCCTTGAGAAGATAATGGGGGAAAACGAAGCCCTAAAATTTTGAAAACCCGCCTTTCTTTTCTACCTTCTTTTCTTCATCTTCACAATCGACTCTCCCCTCTTGTTTCTATACAGTGAGAAGTGACGGAAATAAGGGAGACTAGGATGGGTCTGTCGGTGATGATGAATGGAGTTGCTTTCCGGTCAATTTCGGAGATGGCATTGTCGATTTCGATGCTTGTTTCCCTCTTGCCCTAATCACGTCGTCGCCGCGAATCACACACTGCCAGGCAGTGGAAGAAGATGATGAAGTTTGTCGTTGTCGTATGTCGACCTCCCTCGCAGTCTCCAACTATCTCTGCCCTTTCTTTATTCTTCGTTTCTATGATCGTCTTGTCTTCCTTCATCTTCTCGGTTTTCCATCAGGTAATTATTGGGTTTGCTCGTGATGCTGAAATTCATAAAAGAGTTCTTCTCCGGTATTAGCATCTTCCTGGGTAGCTGAACTTCTATCATCGCTTGAGATCGATCTCAGCCTCCTATTCACCTCTATACGGCCTTACTTGTAAGTCCACACCACACTTGTTCTTATCTTGTTCTGGAAAATCAAGAAACATTCGAAAAACCTTAGGGTTTTGCTTCTTATCATCGGTGAGGTCGCGTTTCTTCATATCAATACTAGGGTATCGTTTCTTATCATCGGTGAGGACTCGTTTCTTCTTATCAGTATCGGATTTCTTCTTGACTGAGGGGTTATATTGACGAGACCTGTGAGACTTTTGAGATCGCTCCATGCTCCCTGTGTGACTGTGTGAGGGTACAAAGATTAATGGCCGCGACAGGGGTTAGCAAAGCTCCTTATTTCTTCTCTACGAGGTATAATAATTGTTGCTTAAAATGGTTAGTTTTTCCTATTCATCACTGTTAGGGATTATTTCTTCTTTGGGACGAATTTGATTTTTTTTTTTCTGATTTGGGAACCAAAACATGCGAGACTAATGAATCTATTGGTGATAATTAATGGTTTGATGATTCCTTAACCTATGAACATTCACATTTATTTGTTATAGTGAACATCAAATCTTGTGTTTGGATACAATAACAGGCAAATATACTTACTGTTTATTTAAGTTCAAATATGGAGTGGACCAAACAACAAAACATTCTCAGAGATCTTTGTTCTGGGCGTTGCAGTTACATTCAATTTGCACCTTGTGCACCAAGGTAAAAGAAATAGACAGAACAGGGGAAAAGCAATCATAGGTAAAAGAAATTGTAGTAAATTAAGCAGGGTTAAATATGTCAATTTTTTACTTGAAAAAAATGTTTTTTTATTGTAGGTTATTATAGCTACTTGTATGCAAAGTATTTTGCATCAACCTTATGGGAAAGAGTATGCAAGGAGGATCCATTGTCATTAGAGACTGGTACTATTATTAGAAAAAAGTTACTGCAACATGGTGGATCTAAAGATCCTACACAGTTACTTAATGATCTTGCTGGTGATGGTATTACAAGGAGCTACCAAAATCAAGGACATGGAGGAGGTATACTTCCAGACATTACAAGCCAATGTAACGAATTGAACTTGAGAAGATGAAAAAAATCACGATTTTGTCCTCCTGTGTTGTTTTTCCAGAGAAGGAAGTTAAGCAGGTCTGGTGTGACCAATGATGACAGTTGCCTTTCCTTAATGTTTTTCTTATTGTGTTCTAGGTAGGAACCAGCAAAATAGGTTTCAGGTATCTGCAATCATCAAGAACATTATTATTAATTATCATTTGATGCTAATGAAATTTGGGAGAAATTAGATCAAGGGTTTCAGACCTTCATGATAACAGGTTGTCCATCCTAAAAAGGTATATCTGGAAGGACTCACTAAAGATTGGAATGAAGAGAATTGACCCCTGCATCTTCTCTCTTTTTACTCTGTTTTTGTTGTGTGAAACAGGGGCTGAACCAACACATATGTTATTGCTGTTGTTGTATCTGATTCTTTTTGATTCATTGTCTACAAGACACTTCAAGGAGATGGTATGATTATTATTTTTAAAGGCTTAAATGCAAGAAATGGAAGTAGAGTGAAAGTAGATTGGTATTAGGGATTGTTTAAATATTGATGTGGTTGGTGTGGTGTTTGATAAAAATAAAGGTGCAATGATTGTATTGTATTTGTATATGTAGGAAGCACATACTGTTGTTGTACCTGAGGTTTAACCTTACACTCACACTCACAGACCCTATCAACAACAATCTTCAATCCTTCAATGTGAACGTGATCCTTATGATTCTCTCCTCCCAATCCCAAGGTCAACGTTACTAATAATAATAATTGTATTTTTTTTAATTTGAGATTTATATTTACATTTCAAAATGTTTTTGTGACTTGTGTAGATGTGTTGGACATGATGGCAGAGGTGTAATGTAAATGAAACAATTTACCCTGATGAAATATAATGTAAATGTCCCATATGCCCCTCATCAGTTCATGCAAAATGGTTTGATTGATGGACATGGAGGAGGTCTAGGATCTTACCCTAGGCCTACGGCACACCCTCCCTCACCCTCTCTCACTACTCAACGTTTAATACATGAACAACAGGTACTACATTGGTGATAATATTTTTGCTTCTTTTTTCTCTTAAAATACGCACTTAGTACAACATTGTCATCATCTGAAATGTCATCTTGTGTTTTCTCAATTCGGACCTTATTCTTACTCCTAATATCAAAGTAAAAAATATATTTATTTATTTACTTATTTATTTATTTATTTATCAATGTAGATTCCATGTTGTAAAATAAAAAGTACCTTTTCTTTAGTGATAAAAGTGTTACACCAACTGAAACATCATCATCTCTCAAGTTCAATTTATCATTTGACTTTTGTTTTTTGACACGTAAGCCAAGTTGTGTCAGCTTACGTGTAATTTGTGTTGCTGACAGAGAAAAGGAAGCTACCATGGAAGAAGAAAGGCGAAAGGAGGAGGAGGCACGGATTAAGTTAGAAGAAGAGTATGTGAGCCTGTTTATATGTTGTAGTTTATAAACTTTGTGATAAATGACAATTTTGCCCCTTTTCAGGAAATCAAAAAATTACTGGTACAATGTTTGCAAATTTCAATTTTACCCTTTTGTCTCATTGTTCATCAATATCACATTAAAAATAACTACTAGTGTATTTTACTTTTTTAGTCTGATTTTTGTAACCATTTTGATCCATATTAAGTTAGAAGAAGCTTCGGGTTCTTCACATTAGAAATAACTACTAGTGTATTTTACCGCGTCTTTTTTTTTTGTTATTCTCGTTTCTAACCCTACGCTGCTACACAATACTCCAACACGTTTCTATCGGTTTTTCATCAGCGATCGCGTAGGAGAATCACACAAGTGTCATCGCCTCTATTCTCTGCTAGTCGATCACCACCGCCGGTTGATCACCACCTCCAGTCGACTTCCACCCATTGCATCAGAAGAAGGTAAGGTCTTCAAAAGTTTTTTTTTTTTTTTTTTTGAATTGGATGCAAACGAAACCTGATGATATTTGTTTCTAGAAATCGGATAAGATACATAGTATTGTTACAATTACATGTTCTTTGATATGTATGATATGAAATCAAATATTGTTTTTTCTGAACTGGAAGTGAAAACAAAAACATATGGTATTTGTTTCTTGAAATCAAATGATATTTGTTGCTGGAAATTAGAAAATCAGATAAGATGTATAGTATTGCTCCAATAATATGTTATTTGGTATATGTGATATGAATCAAATGTAGTTTCTGCTAAACTAGAAGCAAAAACGAATTCCTTTTTGTATTTGTTTCTTGAAATCAAATGATATTTGTTGTTGGGAATTAGATAATATGCATAATATTGTTGCAATTGTATATTATTTGATATGTATGATACATGTTTAGTATTGTAGAAGTATATTAGAGGACAATGATATGTAAACTGAAGTTAATGTTTTTTCAGGGAAAAGGATGAAGAGTTGGATGTTGTAACACTTTGTGCTAAATCATTGCTATATCATTTAAATCAGATGTATGGTTCCACGAAAGATTAGGGAGACATTTTTCTTGGTAAATTACAGATTGCTTTCTTGCTTGCTCTGTTTGTATCTGATCACTTTGGAGGGCACGCAAGTCTATATCCGGATCAAACTATAACAAGCCTTTTGTCTGCACAAACTATAACGAGCCTTTTGTCCCTATTGGAGCTCTACAATTTGGTGTTTGTAGACACAAGTCATTTCTCGTGAAGGTAGTTTAATAATCTATTTACTTGGGTAACTAGTAATGCATCATTTACTTTCTATGTATAAATAAATAATTTATTTCTTTTCCTATTTGCTTATAATTCAGTACCTTTGTGATCGAATGGAGCCTCAAGTACCATGTGAACTTGTGACACCACAGGTATGAAGCAAAAACTAATTAACACTAATCATAGTGTCTAATTAACATGGTCTGAGCGTAAATCTAGTAGTGTGTGTGCACGAATTAACCATGCTTTGTGCTAAACCTAATTGCTTGGTGTTAAGTATTTACAGAATTTTACTATCTCTGTGGACGAATCAGCTAAAGACATGTTATGATGTATACTTTTATTTTCCCTATGCTATAGATCTGATTTTCACTTTCTGGAGTGTTTTCTATTCTGTGATGGATCTTATTGTGCAAGATGCACAATTATATTTCCTTTTTTTTTGGTAATCATTATACTTATTTTGTTTACTTTATGTAGATCATATACGGTACACCAAGCTGCTGCAACAGCCTATGGTGCCTTGTGTGCAGTCTTATGTTCACTCCTTATTGGGTCAAATGGAAGACAAAACCATGTAATTCTTAGAAATTTAGTTGATAGATTTATAGGATGGGCATTGTCATTGTTTAGCAATATTAATGTTGGTGATGGGATAGTGGAACTTGCAGCAGAAGGTCTTCATGAATTCCTCAATGTTGCAGAAGGTCTTAATGCTGGTGATGGGACAACTACTAAGCTCTCTTCACGACTTTGTCCCACTATGGGAAAGTCATGGAGATTATTTCTTCAAATCAAGTGTTTAATTCTATTCTTTCACACAAACTTATGTTGTCTGCATGTGTTAAGGTATTCATTGCAGATTATTTCTTCGGATCAAGTTTAGCCGAAAGTTCTACCTATGCAGATTTAAAGGTAATTAACATCTTCACAACTGATTTTTCGCCTTCAATAATTTCGTGATCTTTTAAAGTAAGAAGAGTTGTATAATGGTGGAATTCATGTGTTTTTATACACTAGGTTGAAGTAATACTTGATAAGTCTATGAAGATCAATAACATTACAGATGCCAAAATTGAAGCCACACTATTTGATATCAATACCAATGAGGGTTCCAATCTGCTATCAACTAACGTGGCCAGTTTGGAGCTTCAGCAGCCCCCTCATTTTCCTTTAGGGTTTCATGGGTATCGATTAGAAGGAAAACTGAAAAATCCCAAGCTTTGGTCTGCAGAGCAAGTGAGAAATCTTGTCTTTTAATCAAACAAATTACTTTTCTTTTCACCTCTTCATCTAATAACATTGGATTATGTTGCATGCAGCTAAATCTGTATACATTAGTTGTCACCCTGAAAGATGCATCAGGCAACATTATTGACTGTGAATTATGTCTAAGTAGGCAAGGAGGGTTTATTTAGGATTGGGTTGACCATGTCTATTTGGGATTAGGTTGACCAGGTTTGAAACTCATCTCTAAAATTTTATAAAATTGTAAATGTGGTGCAAGGGTAGTTCTAAATATTTGCATCTGGTTTCAGGGGTTACTCAAGGAAAATTCAAATGGTAGCAAATATTGGGCATATGGAGGTGACTTTGAATATACACCAAATGACTTCAGAAGGCAGAAAAGAGATTGCAAGTTGATCCTGCTACATGGCCAATAATGATCTTTAGGGTCTGCTAGAAGGATTGGAGATTGCAGCTAAGCTTCTATTTAAGACTTCACGCCAAGGACTTGATGAATTAAAGATATCATATTTTGGCATGGCTAGAAGCTTTGGAGGAAACGAGACTCAAGCAAAAGTAAACACATAGAGAGTTGTTGGCACATAGTAAGCTAGATAATGCAATTGTATATAAATGAGTTCATTTTTTATAACATTTACTCACTATTGGAATAATTATTTGTATTTGACATATTAGTGAAATGAATTATTTTTGTTATTTATGGTATTTTATTTTGTATTATGAGATTTTTAATGTATTATTTAATTTGAAAATTAGTAAATCTATAAATAATAATTTTTTTAACATTTAAAATTATGATACGCAAAAATGAGTGTCATCTTCGTTTATGACATGGCCTTTCTTGACAGGGGCTTCCTTGATACGCATTGCGTGTCATAAACACGCGCGTTGTAAGGTTACGACACGCAAATGCGTGTCGTCTTCCTTTATGACAGGGCCTTCCTTGATACGCATTGCGTGTCATAACCGCGCGTCGTAAACGAGCGTCATAAATGCGCGTCGTAAATGCGCGTCGTCTCTCTTTATGACAGGGCCTTCCTTGACACGCATTTGCGCGTCGTCTGAGCGTTTTACGATGCGCAATGAGCGTCGTAAAAGGCCTTTTTTCTAGTAGTGTGTAAAGAAAATGCGTTTTCGCGTTGTCGATTCATTAGTTGTTCTCTTATATTTAATCACGTGTGATTATATATATATATATATATATATATATATATATATATATATATATATATATATATATATATATATATAATCACATATAATCTGTGTGGCTAAGATTCATTTCCACGTTCTCGATTCAATAATTCTTTTTTTTTTCCACTTTAATCATATGTGATTAAATACATTTAATTGGATGTGATTATATATTTCTAATCACATATGATTTTATTTTGAAAAACGAATCTTGTCTGTAAAAATCCTATGTGATTGTATACATACAATCACATGTGATTATATACACGATAACAAATATTGAACCAAGAACACGAAAACAAATCTTTCTCCAAATTAATCATATTTGATTAAATATATCTAATCATATATGATTATATGAATCTAATTACATATGATTTATATGGATAAGATTCATTTTTGTCTAAATATATCATACGTGATTAGATACCTATAATCATATATGATAAAATACACAAGAATAACACAAATGTATTTTATCCACATAAATCACATGTGATTAGACATATATAATCACATGTGATTCTATGTTTTAATCATATATGATTTATGTAAACAAAATGCATTTTCGCGTTGTCGATTCATTAGTTGTTCTCTTATATTTAATCACATGTGATTATATATATATATATATATATATATATATATATATATATATATATATGTCTAATCACATATGATGTGTTTGAAAAGGATTTCTTTTCAAGTGTTTGATTCAACAATTATTCTCATATATATAATCACATGTGATTATATGTATTTAATCACATATGATTAATGTGGAAAAAGAACAATTATTAAATTGAGAATGCGAAAACGAATCTTGTCAATATAAATCACATGGGATTGAATATATATAATAAATGTGATTAAATACATGAGAAAATTTATTGAATTGAAAATGCGAAAACAAATTTTTTCCATATAAATCGTATGTGATTGGATACATGTAATCATATGTGATTACGTACACATAATAGGAGAGTTAGTGTAACTCGCCTCCTTGAACTTGAAAATCAGCTAGCATGAGCAAGATGGATTGTTTCCTTTCTAAGAACCTACACAACAATTATAACATTATTTAGCTTGTGCTTTGTTGTATTACTCTTATAAAACTTATGTATATATTTTCTTATTTTATCTTTGATTGTAGTACTCTTTTGGGATCTGTTTTCTTACCTTTCAACTCATTCTTAAATTTTGATAAAATAATATTGGTAAAGTTCCCTCTTTTATCTTTTCAGAGATAAAAAGATCTCGTTCTAATGAGTTTTTTTTTATATTTTATATTAAATCTACAAGTTAGTAACTTTAAGTTGTCACATTCTGGACCACTCAACACTATTGGAATAAAACTGTACCAATCTACTAAGAATTACATCAAACCCTTTATATGTGGGAAACTATACATCCATATATGACTATAGGCTTTTGAATGGAGTTCAGTTGAATTTATTATGATATTTTGAAGACAATGCATGAAATCTGTGATAGCATGGACCAAACTGAGAAGATTGCCAATTTTACCTCTCAAGGATTTGGAATTTCGAAATGTGATTCAAAGTTTGAAGAAACTAGACACAATAATATTTCCATAAAAATAAGTCTCATTATTTTTAGATTTTCCTACTAACTTTCACGAATTTTAGAAGTTGGAGGACAGATTTGGTAAAATTGATCATAATAGCTTTTAAATCACTTTTGGTGTTCTATTAACTACTTAATGGTTAAGCCTTAAGTTTATCACTTTTAACATGATTTTTGGTTACTCATTGGGATATTGAGATGTGAAATTCAATGTAACCTAAGGACCTTAATGTTTGGCTTAATGAGGGTTCAAAGTTAAGGATTTTCACATAAAATGCAACTTTTACACTTATTAGGTTCTTTCAGACAATATGACAAACACCTTGTGTGCATGAAATCCTACAATGATCATCAACTCTCTAACAGACTCCAATCTAGCCCTAAAGCTTACTACTTTCATTTATCATTGACACGAATAATTAGCATAAAAAAGAAACGATTCATGATTATAAATGGAACGATGTCAGATTTCACAATATCATGAATCTCACTCATAATTCGATAAGATCCATTGTTTTCCTGATTAAAGTAAAATCAAACTAGAATGTGCTAATGTGTGTGTGTGAGAGAGAGATAGAGAGAGAGAGAGTAGTGATAGTACCTTCAGAAGATCAGATTGTTGACTTTGAGCATTGAATTTATGGAACAACTATCGTGCATAGATGAAAGTTCATGGGAAGAAGAAAAGCACTAGGAGGCGGGGTCAATGTCGGAGGGTCATAACGGGAGGAGTCAGTGTTAGTCAGAGGGTAGGACGAAATAATGGTGTCACGAAGTTTGTGCGTGTTTTTTGAACTCATAGGCTAAAAAATGTTCTCATTGGAACATAACTCTCTCTCTCTCTATATATATATATATATATATATATATATATATGTGTGTGTGTGTGTGTGTGTGTATATATATATATATATATATATATATATATATATATCGGGAGAGGTTCTATTGAGAACGAAAAGATTGAGAACGCGAAAACGATTGTAGACCGCTCGTTACGTAAGGAAATTATAGGAAAATTTCATTTTCATTTAATATAAATAAAATTGTTTGTTTGTAACTTCCATTTTCATTAATTAATTTCATTAATTTTGATGTAACATACCAAACAAAATCTCATATTATTTAATTTTGATGTAACATACCAAAAACAATATACACATACACACATAATTTAACATACACACACACTCTAATTTCTCTGCTTTTATCTAAAAAGAGGTTTTGTTCGCTAATTTTGAAGACACTGCTTTGAATTTTCACTATTCGTTTGTATCATTTCTTACAACTCTTTTCCAATTAGCCTCTCAATTTCAATTTTAATAGGTAACTTAATCCCAATTTCGTTAGTCTCTACAAGACGGGAATAACCACCGGCTTCTGATGGCCACTTACATGCTTCCGCACGTTTTCCCGTTTTTGAGGTTTGTTGATTAATTGTAGTTTCAATCTCCATACTTCATAAAAACCTCCCTTAAACGCCACGTGTCGCTCTTTTAGACCTCATTTTTGTCACGTGACACTCTCTCCAGCAATATACTTTATTTTTTCCCGCTCAATTTGTCACACCTCTGTTCCACGAAATTACTTCAATTCACCATTAACAGTTATCAATATCAACATTTGTATCCCTAAATATCAGCAATTAAATTAAATTTCAAACAGTTGCCGAATTTGGTGCATTTCAGTTTTCATTATCTCTGTCCTAAAATACCTTTAGTCAAATATAATTGGAATTTTAATTTTGCTTTCGGTTTTGAACTCTCTATGCTGTAGAAATATCTTCAAGTTATATCATATCCCTGAAAATAAGGAAAAAAATTGAATTAATTTCTATTATACCAAATATATCTCTAATACAAAAGGAAACTAAAAATCTATACAAAACTTACACACATATTATTTGAAATTTGAAATTTCAATCCCAAAAACCAGGCTCAAATAAATACATATACATATATTATTCATCCACGAATCCGCGTCTTACTTTTATTTGCAAACGCTCTTCTGCTTCAAAGCTTCCTCGACAATTTCATTCCAATTGATCACAAGTTCCATCAGCCATTCACACTAAGAATAATGGATGAAAAGAACAAAAGGTTAGAGCTTTATTTCGATTGCAACACCTTTTTTATGTTTTATTATTTATCATTTAATTATATGTCTTTGATTCCTGATATCCAAGACTTTAAAATTTTCTGCAAGTTTACCACCTTTGAACCATTTGTATTTTAATGTTTGAGAACACCGTATGATTTTTGTTCATTTTTATAACTACATTCCTATGATTTTTGTGTTTCTGTGATAAAATACCAAGAAATAGTTGATTACCTTCTCACATAATTGCTTGCTTTGCCTGCTGAGATCCATTTTATTTATCTGTTTTTTCATACTATCACCATAATGGGTACCTAAACAAAAAATAAAAAAATAAACATTATTTACATATTGATGTATAATTTACAGAGAAGTTCAGTTCAATAATTTGTTCCTGATTTGTGTCTATGTTACTAAACTTATTTTCTTATTAGTTGATGATTTTGATTGTTTATGTGTGTGTGTGTTTATGTTCATTTATGTATGAATGTGTGTGTGTTTCTGTTTCTGTGCGTGAGTTTATTGGCATCAAATTTAGATCTATTTTATGTTCCTGTTATTCGAATGCAAGAAACAACAATTACTTGTGTCGATGTGACTGTTTATCATGATTCATAGCATTGAATTAACAATGTACTTTTCAAACTCAAGAACCATTTGTTCATTTTGTTTACTACCTGCCTATGATT